ATGTATTTCTGTAGATATATATTTATATATATTTTTATATATATATTTATATTTATATATATATATATTAATATATATATGTATATTTGCATATATATTTATGTAGATATATATTTATATATTTGTATATTTATATATAATATGTTTATACACTTATTTATATGTTTATATATTTGTTCATTTGTATTTACTTATATATATATGTATTTATGTCTAAGTTATATAATATACATATATATGTCTATAAATATATAAATAAATCAATGTTTATGTTTATATACTTATCTATTTATAATATATATTATATACTAAATATATATATATATATACATATATATATATATATATATATACATATATATATACATTATATATACTAAATATATATATATATATATTTGGGTTTAGATTGAAATATATACAAATTTAATTTCAATCTATTTATATTTTAATGAAACTCCAGTGCCAAAAGTGTCCAAATGAGATCTTTTTTATTTCTTTTCGAATTTTTCATTTTTGAATTCAAAAGAAAACAAATCTCAATTTATCTGACTAGAGAAGGGGGTTTTAAAGCTGCAAGGGACTTAGTGGGGCCTCTGCTGCTGCGGCCTGGCACAGCAGATTTGAATTATTTTATTTAAAAAATAAAAGTTGGAATTTAAAATAAAATTATTTTTTATTTATTCAAAACTTTCAAAGTTTGCAACTGAGGCTGCAGAGAGCTGCTGCAGCAATTTAAAAATTAAAAAACATTAAAATGTAATTTTATTATTTCAGTTTTTATTTATTTTGAATTTTCGAAAATTAAATTTTTCGCCAACAAACCACGTGAAGTCGCAGCCAAAAGAAGAATTAAAACTGCATTTTAATTATCAAATATTTATTTTAATTTGTTTTAATTTGTTTTAATTTATTTTAATTTATTTTAATTATTTTAATTATTTTAATTATTTTAATTGCTTTAATTTATTTCAAACTAATTTTATTCTTTTTGTTTGTCTGCGGCTGCGGTGTCCGGGGAGCTCAGAGATCCTTAGAGTTCGTTCGAGTGCCGCATCGAAGTACTTGATATTTATTATTTATTCATTTATTTATTTATTTATTTATTTATTTATTTATTTATTATTTATTTATTTATTTATTTGTTTATTTATTTGCATTTATTAATCAGAGAAGACGAAGCAGCAGAGCCAAGCCAATTAGATCCAGTTCTGCTGCAGCTGCGGCTGCTCTGTGCAGCCCCGGGGAAAAAATAAAGAAATTCAAATTTGATTTTAAATAAAAACAAAAAGTTTAAACTTTTGTTTCAAAAATAAACAAAAAAGAACAAAAATGGGGGGCGAAATGAACTCAAAAAAGCCCCAAACCTTGCATGCAATACTTCCATTTTGCCATGTACATACACCCGAAAACAGGAAATAAATTAAATATTAATTGGCCCTCAAGGGCCCCCAAAGGGCCCCCGAGGCTCTGCGAAGAAGTAGAAATATATTTATACTTTAAATACTTTTAACGGGAAGAAAGAAAAGAAAAAGTGGATTTAAAAAAGTGCAAAAAGAAGCAAAAAATGCGCAGTTTGTGCCTCCTGCTGTATGTACAGAAGGCGCAGCAATTTTAATTTGCAAATTTGAAGTGGAAGTTCCAAAGTTTGGAGTTTTTGCGGACAGAAAAGAAGTTTTTGCGGATTTTGTGAAGTCTTTTTGAGTCAGGAGCTTCAAATTGCATTCTTTTGGAATTAAATTTGTCAAAAAATGTTTAAAAATTAAAAAAAAGGAACTTTTTTGCTAATTCAAAAACTCCTAATCTTGCATTCTTTCGGAAACTCACAACAAGAGCTGCTTTGCATGCACTTTACTTGAATAAAAGGTTTTAATAATTCAGATTTTCGAATTTAATGCAATTAAATGATCTTTTTGAAATAAAATCCGAGAAATTTGATTAATTTTAGCGGCAAAAAGACAAAAAAGAAAACAAATTGAAAGCCAGTTTGGCCATTCTTTAAAAACGAGTTTTCGAAACTTGGCGCAAATTGCAAAACAAAAAAACTCCATTTAAGAGTTTAAATGGACTTTTTGCATTTTTGCAAAATGCAGATTTTAAAAAAAAGAATTTTTGCAAAATGCAAATTTAAAAAAAAGAAAATAAAAAAAATAAACTTTCGCCATCTTCAGTCTGAGTGCATGCAGCTTGTTTTCTTTTGGCTTTTTCTTCAAAGAAAAGAAACTTTAAAAGAAATGAAACTTTAAAAAATAAAAAATAAAACTTTTCTTTTAAAAATAAAATAAATAAATAAATTAATTGCCTGCTTTCCTAAAGAATTGAAAAAGAAATTAAATCTTTTTGGCCCAGAAAGAGCCAATTGGCCGCATGCAACTTCTGAATATTTGAATATTATTATTTAAATATTTGAATATTATTATTTAAATATTTGAATATTATTATTTAAGTATTTGAATATTATTATTTAAATATTTGAATATTATTATTTAAATGTTTGAATATTATTATTTAAATGTTTGATTATTATTATTTAAATGTTTGAATATTATTATTTAAATGTTTGATTATTATTATTTAAATGTTTGATTATTATTATTTAAATGTTTGATTATTATTATTTAAATGTTTGATTATTATTATTTCAGTATTCAAATGCTTTAAACTTGTTTGAATATTTGAATATTATTTGAATATTCTAAAAGTTGAATATTCGAATGTTTTGCATTATTTGAGCATTTGAATTATATTTGAATATTTAAATTATATTTTAACATTTAAATATTATTTGAATATTCGAATTTTTTTTAAGACTTAAATATAATTTGGCCATTCAATTATTTGAATATTTGAATATTATTTGAATATTTAAATATAATTTGAATATTCAATTATTTGAATATTTGAATATTATTTGAATATTTAAATATAATTTGAATATTTGAATATAATTTGAATATTTAAATATAATTTGAATATTTAAATATAATTTAAACTTTTAATTATTTGAATATTTGAACATTATTTGAATATTTGAATATTCATTTACTTGCGCATTTAAGAGATTTATTTTTTCAGAAAAATTAAAAGTTTCAAAAATAAACTTTTAGTTAATTATAATTTGCAAAAAGATCATTAATTGCAAAAAGTTCTTCTTTTCTTTTGCTGCTGCAGCAAAAGCCTCGCTGGGAAGCTTGGGAAGCAGCAGCAAACGCAGAGTTTTGCTGCTGCTGCTGCTGCTGCTGCTGCTGCTGCTGCACTGAAGCAGCAAAAGATGCCAATTTGCTTCCAATTTGCTGCTGCTTTTAATGCAAACTGTCTTCTAGAAGTTGGGGAAAATAAAAAGCTTTTTCTTTTTAATTTAAAACAAAAATAGAACAAAAAACACTTTTTGGAGTTTTAAATATAATTTAATTCTTTATTTTAATTATTATTATTATTATGAACAATTAAATTATCTTCACAGATAAAATATACTCATTTTGCTGCTGCTGCAGCAGGGCCTCCTGAATCTGCACTAGGGCCTTGTCGCCGCTTCGTTTTGCTGCTGCTGCTGCTGCTGCTGTTGCTGCTGCTGCTGCTGCAGCAGCTGCTGTTGCTGCTGCTTCTGCTGGCTAGAGCGGGCGTCTGCTGCTTCGACTTCTGCAGCAGCTGACAAGCAGCAGCAGAGGGCAGCGCCGTTACAGAGCTGCTGCCTCGCAACACCCCCCTAAACCCTAAACCCTAAACCCTAAACCCTAAACCCTAAACCCTAAACCCTAAACCCTAAACGCTAGACTTTTGCTGCTGAGTAATTCTGCTGCGGGGGCGAAGCGCGCAGCAGGGATCTGCAGCAGCAGAGTGCGCTGGCGCTGCAGCAGGTGTTCTTGTGGCTGCTGCCTCCGCAAAAAGTCCCAAACCCTAAACCCTAAACCCTAAACCCTAAACCCTAGAGCCTAAGCCTTGAGATTTTGCTGCTGCGTGTTTTGCTGCGTGAGCGAGCGGCGCAGGGCAGATCCGCAGCAGCAGGGATCGCCGCTGCAGCAGCAGGTGTTCCCGAGGCTGCTGCCCCGCGCAAAAGCTGCAAACCCTAAACCCTAAACCCTAAACCCTAAACCCTGGGCCTTTGCTGCTGCGTTATTCTGCTGCGGGAGCGAACCGCGCAGCGCAGATCCCCAGCAGCAGAGGCCGCTGCTGCTGCTGCTGCTGCTGCTGCTGCTGTTCCTGCAGCGACAGACAAAGCTGGCTTTAAAAGACAAAATAAAATTGAAAATTGGATTTAAATTGAAGTTTAAATAATGGATTAGGCAGCAGCAGCAGGGGGAAGCGCAGCGCTGCTGCTGCTGCCTTAGTGTGTCCGTGCAGGCTCCGGCGGAGCCGCGGGGAAGCAAACGGCGCTGCAGCAAACAAATTGTGCAGCAAAAAGGATTTAAATGGAGAACTTTATTTAAATGGAGTTTAATTTTAGCTGGGGAGTTTAAAGAAGCGAAAGAGGAAGTGCTGCTGGCGCAGGGGGCGGCCCGCGAGCAGGGAGCAGCAGCAAGGGCGTAGCAGCAACTGACACTGGCGGCGCTGCAGCAGCAGCAGCAACATTAGAAGTTATTGCTTTATAACACTTAAAAAGCTGAAAGGAATTAGCAGAAAAGGGGGAGCAGCGGGGGAGCGGGCCGCTGCTGCTGCTGCTGCCGCTGCTGCTGCCGCTGCTGCTGCTGCTGCTGCTGCTGCGCCCCCGCGCGCACCGGTGCCCGCAGCAGTGCATGGCTCGCCAGTGCGCGCCGTTTGTCCGGCAGAACAGTTTTGTTTGCAATTAAGAAAGTAAATAAAATAAAAAGAGGAATTGGAAAGAAAGAAAGGCGAAGTGAAAAGGCGGGAGCCTCTTTGCTGCTCCCGGTCTTGCTGCTGCGGCGGTTGTGTCACCACCGGTGCTTCACCTCTTGGCGTTGTTTGTTTGTTCTTTTGGGTTTCGGTGTTGTTTCTTTTTTCTTTTTGCTTCTCTGCTTTAGGAGTTAAGAGCTGCAGCAGCCATGGCGGCCAGCGGGAGCAGCAGCAGCAGCAGCAGCTGTCTGCAGCAGCAGCAGCAGCAGCACCAGGTGCAGCGCTGCGGGCACGTTACGGGTCACGAGGCAATGTCTTGAGTCTGCGCAGGTGGCTTGCTCCGCTCTGCAGTAGAGGGAGAGCTGCGGTAGAGCTGCTGCTGCTGCTGCTGCAGCAGCAGCAGCAGCAGCAGCAGTTGAGCTATGGCTAGGCGTCACGAAGGCTTAAGGCTCCTAGAGGGCAGCAGCAACGGCAGGTGATACTTCCCTTTGCTGCAGCAGCAAGAGAGGCAGACAGGCATGTATGGCGCACTGTACTGTTGAGAGGAAAGTAGCAGCAGCAGCAGCAGCAGCAGCAGCAGCAGCAGCACCTCGCAGTGCACTTCGGCCCTAGAGGCCTTTGCTGCGTTCGCGCCTGCGTCTCTGGTGGTTTGTGTCTCTTATTCGCTACGGATACGAGCAGCAACAGCAGCAGCAGCAGCAGCAGCAGCAGCAGCAGAAACGGCGCGGCTGTCTGTCGAGAGCGACTTTCCTCGCTGCACTTCTCACGTCCACACGCTGCAGCAGCAGCAGCAGCTGCAGCAGCTGCAGCAGCAGCAGCTGCAGCAGCAGCAAGTGCATTGGCAGGCCCTGACACTGCTGTAAGCTAAGAGCTCTTCTGTGTGGCGCCTTCGCCCTTCGGTGTTCGTTGGTTTGCTGCTGCTGCTGTCTGCGGGAGGTTTCGTGTCATTTGCTGCAGCACGAGAAGGGGGAAGCTGCTTGCTGCTGCTGCAGCAGCAGCAGCAGCAGCACGAGCTGCGGCGGCAGTCGCCGGGTGTATGTACACACCGTGTCACGCTGAGCACTGTATGGACCGAGGCTACACGAGAGCAGCAGCAGCAGGAGCTGCAGCACGGCAACGGTGGCAGCAGCTGCTGCAGCAGCAGCTGCAGCAGCAGCTGCAGCAGCTGCAGCAGCTGCTGCAGCAGCGAGTGGCGCGTCTGAGGTGTATGTACAGCAGGCGAGAGCTGAGAGAGGATAGATTTATTACTGAGGGAAAAGGCCAGCTGTAACGCGTATTCGCGAGGGCAGCAGCAGCAGCAGCAGCAGCAGCAGCAGCAGCAGCAGCAGTTGTTGCAGTGGCTAGGGCTATTACGGTATACTGTGTTGCTGTTACGCTATCTAGGGCCCCTCTCTGAGAGATTTCTTTTTCTTTTGCTGCTGGACTTTTCTTTTGCCCAGCAGCAGCAGCAGCTGCAGCAGCAGCAGCTGCTGCTGCTGCTGCTGGCGTTTGCTTTTCTTCTTTTGGTGACCGCAGGGCGCTCAGGCGGCGGTGCCTCTGTGTGCAGCAGCAGCAGCAGCAGCTGCTGCTGCTGCTGCTGCTGCTGCTGGTCTTCGCTTGTTCTTGTTCTTCTTTATCCGCAGCAGCGCCCGGTGGGGCTGCTGCTGCTCTCGGCGCAGCAGCAGCAGCAGCAGCTGCTGCTGCTGCTGCTGCAGTGGTTTGTCTTTGTTTCTGTTGGAGGCTTCGCTGGAAAGGAGATGAGGAAAAGTTGCTGCTGGAGGCGGTTTGCTGTTGCTGCAGTTGGTGGCGGTTCCCGTGTCGGTTTCGTGCTGCTGCTGCTGCTGCTGCTGCTGCTGCTGTGTTGTGGTTTGCTGCTTGCGTGTCTGTGCGTTGTGCTGCAGCTGTTGCTTCTCGTGTCTGTGGTGTGCTGTGTGGCTTGTGGTGGCTGCTGCTGCTGTGTCTGTTGCTTCTCGGTTTGCTGCTGCTGCTGCAGCAGCAGCAGCAGCGCAGCACTCGCGGCTGGAGGAAAGGCTTTCAAGCAAGGAGCGGAGCTGTGGGGTTTTTGGCTTTTTTCGGTTGGCTCTTCTGTGGATTTTTGTTTTTATTTATTTATTTAATTTCATTTTTATTATTTGGGTTTTTCGGCACAAGTTGCTGCTTCCTTGAGGCCAGTTCGCGCTGCTGCTGCTGCAGCAGCAGCAGCAGCAGCAGCAGCAGCGGCGCTGCTGCAGCTGTTCGGCGCGCGGCGGCCGGGCGCGCCCCTCTCGTGTCTGCTGCTGCTGCTGTGTCCTGTTGCTGTGCAGAGAGCAGCAGGCAGGCAGCAAGAGCAGCAGCAGCAGCAGCAGGTTCTTTCGGCTCGCGGCTCGTGGCTGCAGCAGGGCAGCAGCAGCAGCACAGGTGTGCTGCTGCTGCTGGGGAGGCAGCAGCAAAGCAGGCGTCTCGATGCAGCAAGGGTTCTTGTGTATCGACACTAAGACAGGGTTTTAACCTGATGGTGGTGCTTGCTGCAGCAGCAGCAGCAGCAGCAGCAGCAGAGCTGGCGCTGTATAGCGCTCTGTGCTGCTGCTGCAGCAGCAGCAGCAAAGCCTCTCCCGCCTGGGTGTGCGTACTGCCGCATCTGGCTGTGCCTGGAGGAGAGGAGGCGGGGTTTGCTGCTGCTGCTTTGCTGCTGCTCTCTGCTGCTTCGTGCTGCTTGCTGCTGCTGCTGCTGCAGCGGCCCGGGCCCGCGGCGCGGCCGCGGGGCGGCCGCTGCAGCAGCAGCAGCAGCAACACCGGCGTCGCAGCAGCAGCAGCAGCAGCAGCAGCAGGTCGAACGCGCCCCAGCCTCACCACGGCGGGTGGCCTGAGAGCAAGAGAGGACTGGAAAAGCTGCTTCAGCTGTACATACACCTCAAGCCCGCGAGAAGTTTTCTAAACCCTAAATCAGCGCAAAGACACAGGGCCGCGTGAGTTGCTGCTGCTGCTGCTGCTGCTGCTGCTGCTGCTGCTGGCCTTTCCTGTGGCTTCTCTGTCAAGTAGCGACGGCGCTTTGCACGTTCCCAACCCCACTTGCAGCTTTGCTGCTGCAGCAGCAAAGCTGCAGCAGCTGCTGCTGCAGCAGCTGCTGCTGCAGCTGCTGCTGCCAGGGCCTGGACCGCCACCGAAGGAGGCGAGGGCGGGGGCCTCCTTCCCTTGCTGCAGCCGCGGCCGCTGCTGCTGCTGCTGCTGCTGCTGGATCTGCTGCCTCGCCGGAGTCTGCTGCTGCAGCAGCTGCTGCAGCAGCTGCTGCTGCAGCAGCTGCTGCTGCTCGAGCTACGGGAGCTGCTGAACGGAGACGGAAGCCACGACAGTTCTGCTGCTGCGTTCTGGCTGCTGCTGCTGCGACTGCTGCTGCTGCTCCTCCCCTGCTGCTGCTGCGTCTGCTGCTGCAACTGCTGCTGCTGTTTGCTGTTTTGCTGCTGCTGGACCTTCTGCTACAAAACTCTTCAGTTTTTTTCAAACAAAACTTTCATTTTTTTTTGTAAAGTCTTTCAGTTCTTATTGCGTTTTTGGAATTTATTTTAGCTTAGAATAAAAATATTTATTTATAAATTTATTTATTTGTGGTTTTAAATATTTAAATAATTTTATTTTTAAATTTGGAAAGTTTCTCTTGTAGCTGGCAGCAGCAGGGGGTTGAAGAGCCGTGCTGGGCAGCAGCAGCAGCAGCAGCAGCAGCAGCAGCAGCAACGTAGCAGCAGCAGCAGCAGTAGCATAGATCAGCAGCAGCAGCATAGATCGGAAGCAACAGCAGCACAGATCAGCAGCAGCAGCGGAAGCATAGATCATCGTCAGCAGCAGCAGCAGCAGCAGCAGCAGCATAGATCAGCAGCTGCTGCTGCTGCTGCATGTAGTTTTGCTGCTGCTGCTTCGAGAGCAGCAAAATGGACCGGTGTGTCGCTTGGGGTGTACGTACACCTCCTGGGGTTTGCAGTGTTTGAATTTGGCGAATTTTAAATTATTTTTAATTTTAATTTTCTTTTTTTGATTAATTTGAAAATCTTTCGAAGATTTTTGTCCAAAAGAATCCTTTCGAGAAAAGGCGTCAAAAGTTGCAGAAAAACTGAGGTGTACAGACACCTCGTGGCAGTGCCCCGTCTGCACATTTGGCAGTTTGCGCTGAAAATGGGGAAATTAAATGAAAAAAACAAAAATAAAATGTTTATTTGCATTAATTTATATTTATTTATATTTATTTATATTTATTTATATTTATTTTCATTTATTTTTATGCATTTCCTGGAAGATCTGGTGTATATACATCGCGCAGTTAATGCAGGTCTGTTCGTGGGCGCGAGGTGTATCTACACCTCCTGAAGTGTAAAACATGTACAAATAAATATAATTTTTAAATTTAAATTTATTTATTTTTAAATGAAATATAAATGCAAAAGGAAACAAATGCGTTGCACAAAAAATATTTTTATTTTTATATTATTCATATTCATGCAAATATCCATATAGATGTAATACATAACATATTTAATTATAAATAAATATAATATATATATATGCATATATATATATATATATAAATATAAATAAATATAACTTGCATATACTTAATCATAAATAGATATAATGTCTGTATATATATATATTCAATTATAAATAAATATATAGGTATTTAAATATACAAATAAATATATATATATATATAATAGTGGTCCCATAAAAATATAAATGCACATTTATGCGCTGTACACACATCTGCCCATACATGCAGCAGCAGCAGCAGCAGCAGCAGCTGCAGCAGCTGCAGTTGCAGCAGCTGCAGCAGCAGCAGCAGCAACCTGATAAAAACAGCAGCAAAGTTACAAACTGAAGTTCACTTGTTAGTTGTCGCTAAACCCTAAACCCTAAACCCCGAGGTAAACCCTAAACCCTAAACCCTAAAACTGCCCCTCAGCAGCAAACCCCAACTAAACCCTAAACCCTAGATGCTGCAACAAGAGAGGCTTTGGGCAAATTCCCCTGGCATTCAAAATAAGGGTTTAGGGTTTAGGGTTTGCGAAGGCCAACTCCGCGCAAACCAAAGAACTGCAGCACATCAAAAGCAAACTGAATTTGGTGCTGCTGCTGCTGCTGCTGCTGCGCAGCAGCAGCAGCAGCAGCAGCACCAGCGCCACTTGCGGCTGCTGCAGCTGGCGCTTCTGCTGCAGTTGCTGCTGCTGAACAAGAATGCGCGGTGGCTGCTGCTGCTTTGTTGTTGCTGCTGCTGATACCTGCTTCACCTGTTGCTGCTGCTGCTGTTGCTGCTGCTGCTGTTGCTGCTGCTGCTGCTGCTGCTGCGGCCCATCTCGAGCACTTTGGTTTGCTTCAAGCACCTTTCAGCCTTCTACTCCGCTGCAGCACTTTGAGCTCTATTTGCTGCTGCAGCACCAGAAGCTGCACCTGCTGCCGCTGCTGCACTAGCTGCTGCTGCCGCTGCTGCTGCTGCTGCTGCTGCAGCTGCTGCTGCTGCAGGTTAGAAGTGCTTCCTGTGGGAGCAGTAGCCGCCCGGGTTCTTGAAAAGGTACTTTTGGTGGTGCTCTTCGGCTGGCCAGAAGTGGCATTTGTTGGGATCGGAAATGATTTCAGTTTGGATTTTAAAATTCCACTTTTGTTGCATTTTGTTTTTAATTTGCAGCACAAGAGGCAGCAGTGTGGGGTCTGGGACGCAGACAGCGGAGCGGTACTGCGGGCCCACGTCGGGGCCTTGTCTGCGAGCAAACGCCGCAAAAAAACACTTTTCTAAACCCTTTTTCAGGGTTTCTTTCTTTTATTTCATTTATTTCTTCTTTTTCGTTCTTTTATTTCCAAAAAAACGAAAAAAACGCAAAAAAATGAACAAAAATCGCATTTTGCATGCGCGGAACCGCCGCTGCGCTGCGGTGTACGTACAGCGTGCGGTGTACGTACACCGCCGTCGAAGCCACAAGTGCAACTTTAGACTTTTAATTATTTCATTTTAATTTAAAAAGATATTTTATTCATTTAATATTACGAAATGCTTTATCTTCTTATTTTTATTTTCTAAAAAAAGATTCACAAACGCAAAGACAGCCTCAAATGGGAATTTGCAAAAAACACAAATTTGAAATAATTCAAAATTAATTAATTAACAGCTTTTTGCATTACTGCAGCTCCACATTTACTCATTTATTTATATATAAATATTTATATATACTTATATTTATATTATATTTATAAATATAAATAAATAAATAAATATATATATATGTAGCTCAATATTTGTACACATATATATGATATATATAAATATATTCATTCATTTGCTTATATTATTTGTATTTATTTATATAATTAGAAGTAAATAAATAAAAGCGTTTTATTAAATGACATTTTTGTGTGGTTTATGGTGTATGGGTAATTAGCTAAAAACGCATTTAATAAATAAACAGAAAAGTCTGTAAATGCAAATGAGAAAAAGGCATTTAAATGCATTTAAAGAACAAAAGAAAAGATTTAAAAGACAAATGCATGCAAAACGCAACAAATTAATTTGCTGCTTTTAAATTCCAAAAAATGAAATGACACCTGAGGTGTACGTACACCCCACCGCGCGCCATCTGGAAGCAAAACTGGTTGCGTTTTTCCGCAAATAAAGTCCATTTTCATTTTAATAAATAAACACTTTTAATTTCTCATTTTTATTTTCATTTGAGTGGCAGAAAATGCGAAAAAAAAATGTTTTTTTGTCTTCAAACTTCCACTTAACTGAGTGTACATACACCCGATTGCATGCATTGATATTTATATTTACAAACAACAATTTGGAAACTTTGAATAATAAATTATATTTATAAACTATAAATGATAAATATATAAATACAAATATATAATTGTAAATATATAAATATAAATATATAAAGAGAAAGCCCCAATTATTTATGTATAACATATATTATATATCTGCATGGCCAAACAGCATTAATTATAATTAGTTATATATTTATATAAACAAATATTTATATTTAAAACAAATTTGAAAAAATAATTTAAAATAAAAACAAAAAAGAAAAGCCCCACAATCACATCCCAACAAGAAGCTGTCTGTACACCTCAGCAGAGCACTGTCTGTACACCTGCACAGCTCCTTCCAAAACGAAGCAGCCACGCAGCAGCAGCAGCAGCAGCAGCACTGCAGCAGCAGCATTGCACCAGCAGCACTGCAGCAGCAGCAGCACTTCAGCAGCAGCAGCACTGCAGCAGCAGCACTTCCGCAGCAGCACTTCAGCAGCAGCAGCAGCACTGCAGCAGCAGCACTGCAGCAGCAGCAGCACTGCAGCAGCAGCACTGCAGCAGCAGCAGCAGCACTGCAGCAGCAGCAGCAGACCTGTTGGGAGTGGTGGGGTCGTGGACAGTCCAGAAGAAGGTGAGGAGTTCCTCCAAAAGGACTTTTTGCGGAAAAAAAGAAATCTGAAGAGCTTCGAAGTGTCCAGTTTTGCTGCTGCAGACTTGGGCGTACGTGGGGTGGGGTGTATGTCCACCTGCGTACCCCACACAAGTTGCTGCCAGCTTGTCTTTGAACTCCTCCACAAACAGCTTCTCCAGGCCCCAGAAGCAGCCGCCCCCCACCACGATGCTTTCTGCTGCTGCTGCTGCTGTTGCTGCTGCTGCTGCTGCTGCTGCTGCGGGGGGAGCAGCAGCAGCGGCGGCAGCGGGAGCGGCGGGGGGCGCTGCAGCAGCAGCCGCGGGGGCGGCGCCCGCTGCAGCAGCAGCTGGCGCAGCAGCAGCAGCAGCAGCAGCAGCGGGAGAGCTGGAGGACTTCAACTGAGACATAGAAGTAAATGCAATTAAAGAATTTGCAAAACAAAGAAAAGACAGTCGAGGAAATACACCCGAAATGCACCAGTGGTCCCTGTACACCCCGCGAGGCCGCGCGCTGTACAGACCGCCGCCGCGCAAGGGGCCCCCCAGCCCAAAAGAAACCATAAAAAGGAATTTCAAGACTTTTTTGCAAATTAAATATCAAATAGTTCCAATAAAATGCAAAAACGAAGGAAAAACAGCAGCGGAAACCCCCGAATTGGCAGCAGCAGCCGTCGGCTGCTGCTGCGGTCGCTGTGTGCGCGGGCTGGGCTGGGCTCAGCCGGGGCTCCGGATCTGCCGACGTTCGCCGGGATTTTAGCGACAAAAAAAGAAATAAATGAATTAATTCGAATTAAAAAGTAAATTGAAATACAATTGAGGTGTATGGACACCTTTTCCCGCCTTTTCAGCGCGAGAAGTGCCGCCTGCTGCGCACCTCCGCCAGGCACCGCCCCGCTGCTGCTGCTGCTCCGTCCCGCTGTTTCTTCCGGCTAAAAAGCCCTAATTTGTTTTATTTTTATTTAATTTGCAAAGTAAAATATTTATTTTCCACTTTGCTGCAGCAGCTGCAGCAGCTGCAGCAGCTGCAGCAGCAACAGCGAAGACAGGGCCCGCCTGCTGCAGCAGCAGTAGTGACACCGCGAGCCACAGAGCGAGGGGGAGGCGAAGGCAAGAGAGACAAGTTCAGATTTAAATTAAATTAAATTAAATCGAATAAAAATATTAATTTAATTAAAAAAGAAACAAAATTGCACACACAAGGAGCAGCGGGAAGCAGCAGACACGCGCTCCTGCTGCTGCTGCTGCTGCTGCTGCTGCTGCAGCTGCCGAGACACCGCAGCGCACGTCGAGCGAGCAGCAGCAGCAGCAGCAAAATAGGCAGCAAATAAAGTCTGCTGCAGCTCGAGACAAAAGCTGTAGAAAACAGCTTGCCTTGCAGCAGCAAAAGCAGCTGTTCAAAGCCAATAAACATTTAAAAAAGAATAAACATTTGAAAAAGAATAAACATTTATTAAAGAATTAACATTTATAAAAGAATTAACATTTATAAAAGAATTAACATTTATAAAAAAT